ATTTTTATTTATTATTTTTTCTAGACAGAATGTTGCACATCCTCTCCTTTTAAAAATTTTGTCCCCGAAATTTATAGCCATTAGACCAAATGTTTCCACTGCACACTATAATTCAAGTTTATATATCGCTAATCAATTCTGTCATAACCCACAAGTTGTTATCCTAAGTAGCTAAATTTGGGACAATCCACATAATCTTAAACCTATGCTCTGATACCAATTATAATGTCCCGACTCAATTCCATATAATTTAGAGCGCGAAGAATGCCAATAGTGAATAAATAAAGCTTTCGATAATAAAATTAATTACAATCGTCCATATCACCTTGAAAATACACAAATGATTCGTTACTGAAAGATTTCAATTCTTTAATTGACCCGATCACCTACCAACTTTTACTACAAGATCAACCGGCAACTAAGACGGTAAATGGGGTGAGCGTGGGGCCTAATAAGTAAAACAAAACATAATATACTGAATAGGAGGATCAAACGATAATCAACAACCAATGATCAATTGCAGAAGCATGAATTAACATATTGCTTTACAAATACATTGTGTCTATCACAAGAAATTGAATATTCCAATCGTTCCAAATTACCCATAGTTTTATTCTTGGTTTGTGTCGACATGTTAGGTGCAACTTGGTGCATACCGATTTCAGTCATGCCCCTAGGGCTAGAATCACATCCATGATCATAGCCAAGCCATTTAGTGCATCTGACACATGTATTGATAATTGCGCAAGCAATTCGCCATAAAAATATTCTGACATTATATCTGCAATGGAATATTAAACAAATAGTTAAAGGAATTTGAGACAATCGGTGTTGCAATATTTAGAATATAATTTTGAACGATAACAACAAAATACACTCTTTGCAAAGAGACTTAAAACGGAAGCTTATTAGGAGTTAGCCAACATGATGCTCGTGTCAGATGACCAAGATATTTATGAATACTACATATGATCCACATACTAAATCCTTAGTTGACACTATAATCACGCCGACAAACTCTTCCCAATTGATTTTGTAAGAATTAAATTGTGAATCACCACATGAGCCTTAAATCGAAACCTCACTATTTATTCTCATAACTTTAGTTTCTTTCTCTCTTTGTTAGTGGCTCACACCGCTTCACACTCCGCCCTATTCTTTTTTCTTTACATTTCAGATGTCAAGCCACCACTTCTTTATTTTATTGCATTCTATGACTACTCGCACCCACATGCTCATAATTTGGACCTTTGTCCCCTTGTATAACCTTCTTGTCTTTCAAAACTATTTTTATATAGATAAAAATCAACTATTCACCTATTATTCAACCAAAAGGGCCTTTAAGGCCTGGCAGCTTCTGCCTGACTTTCTTACGAGATTTCATAATTATGTCTTGCTACTTTGTGTCCCAATAATCATATAATCCATTCTTGCACCCTAAATTTTGTGAAGGTCAGAACTTACTTGACAAGGAATTTCGCTACATTAGGACTATTATAGTTACGACCGTCGTTTACCGGGGCTTCAGTCCCCATCATCTGGTCACCAACTTCAATTTGTCTTGGCTAATTCTAATTTATTATTGTTTTTAGACGTGATATTACAATTTACAATTATCTAGTTGATTCTAAGTTGGACTAGGTTCCATGAGTTTTTCCTTTTCTAGTTTACACGTAAAAAATCGCGTGCCTTCTACCTCGTATTATGATTTTGAACAACCTATGTATTGTTTTAGAGATTTGGAAGATGAAGGTGTCTTTAAAGGTGAAAGTTTATGCTTGGATAATTATTCATACCAAGATTAGTACTAATGAGATCCTTCAGAAGAGGAAACCTAATTATTATCTTCAACTACAATGGTATGTTATGTGTAGAAGTGATAATGAGAGTGTGGACCACTTATTTTTGCCTTGTCCTTTGGCGCGAGCATTATGGGACAAACTTTTTGACCTAGTTGCCTTTTCTTGGGTTGCTCCAAGAACCATATCTATGTTTTGTTTGGAAGATGTGGGGTTTGGGGAAATGGTAAATGGTAGACCATTTGGAATTGTGATTTCTTTACCATATTATGGTAGAGTTAGAAAGAAAGGAATGCAAGTATTTTTTTAGGATAAATATGACTAGTTAGAGTGATTATAGGGTAGAGTTTATTTTTGGGCCTCAATGTCTAAGGAGTTTGAATATATTCTTCTCTTTTGTTTTAGGACAAGCTAAAAACACAATGTGTCTGGGGTCCCCTAGCATAAAAGGTGACTTTTGCATAGGCCCTTTCTCCATAGGTAATTATCGATGTGATAGCAGCTCTCTTGGAAGTAAGTTTCTCCGCCATCTTGGTGAGACTAGTCTAATAAACTTTCATTTGAATTACTATAAGTCGGTGTTTTTTGTTGTGGTAACGCTCTTCCAAAATTTTGTTTATTACTTTTTATTTGTTTTCGTGGCTTATTATTGTGTACGATTCCTTGTCCACACTTGATTTGGTTTTCTTGTAATGATTTCGTTTGATTGTCAATAAAATGTTATTTTTGTAGGGACAATACAACATTTCAAGTGTAGAATCTTTCCATTTGATAATAGATGAGGAATCACACGCCAGATCTAGGGGGTGAATATGTTAATTTAAAATAAAGCTCGAATGACCTCCAATTTTAACTTATATCTACCATAATTACCTCTTCTCCCAAAGATATGACAATTTAAGTGTGAACCCTAAACAACACATTAAGAGTGTGAATGGATGAATGAATATGCAATCAACACCAACCAATCCACAATCTTCTTTTGATCCCAACCAAAGCCACAATCTCCAAAACCACTATTAAAGACTTAAAAGATAAACAATCAATTTATCAAACACATGGTGAGCGTGTGTGCAACAGTGAAAGTGTACAAGAAAATTAAAGCAATAAAGAACATATACAGTTTGTTAATGTTGAAACCCTTCTCGAAAAAAATTGCAAGGAACCTTCTCGATTCACTAAAGCCTAATCCACTAAACCTAAAGTCAATCTACAAGTATTCGAAGCATATGCCTCAACCAATCCATATGGTTAGATGCTACTTTCCTTTGTAGATCTCTCCACCAAAGGCCCTCTTTTGACGTTATGACTAGCTTCACTTCAACTTCCTTCCACACAGTTCATTTAGGCCTCAAGCAATTTTCAAGGCTTTACACCCAAGATCTCGTTATGCACACTCTCCAATTGGGTTTTGGTTGACACCAATCAATATCTTCTTTTTCAATGTATGAGGTTGAATGGAAGAATCAATATGGTTGGTCTTTAATCTTAGGGATTTAAGATAATTTTTGAAACACTCTACAAGGATTTTTGGTCTATTCTAGTACATAGAGGCTTACCCTAGGTATAAGACATAGTCTCATATATATAAGACATAAAATAGGGTCTGTCTTGGTGACCAAGAAAATACAGATTCGTGTTGACCGCTTGAGCAATGGGAGGGCGGTCATAGGTGTTGAGTAAAAGATAAGTTATGCTAGACCTTTGGGGGGACAGATCGACTCAAGCGGTGGTAGGGCAGTCGAAGGGTGGCCATCAATCATACTTCACTAGTTTCTCCAGTTTTGTCCCCCAAAGTGTTTCAGAAATCATTCTATCGAAGGTTAGCCAATATAGAGCGATTCGTACTGATTTTTTTGCTAAAAACCAAACAAAAACTTGACCCATTAAGCATTAAAGGGTGTTGCTCAAATACGGTCTGATAAATGACTCAAACTATCTTTTCAAAACACATTTAAGGTTTAGAAAATATTTTCAATGAAAAACCTTAGGAGTCATTTTTCAGATATTGCAAATTTTATTTTATTCATGTAAAACATCCTAAGTCTAAAATTAAATCAAGGGATCTAGGTCTCTAAGGTCATTGCCTTTGTCCTAAGCTTGAAGGTGCATCGGAGTAGTCTTGATCTAGCATTGTAGCTTGATCTCCTTCCCATATCTTGTCCTTACAGATCTTAATCTTTAAAGCTTGTTGAGATTTACATAGATTTCATGAAATTAGCCAATTACAAATATATGATCTAACAATTTCTTTTCAAAAAAAAATAAAAAAAAATCTGTGTATTGTTTGCATGTGATTCTTGATTACCTATGCCATGAATTGTTGATTTGATTGGTTAATTTGCGTATGTCCCACACCGCCTTATGATTGTTGATAGAATTAATTTTAATTGGTTGATTTTGATTTAATTTCGAAAAGATCAATTCACCCCCTCTAGGTTCATCTAGGTTTTCTTAGACATTGGTTCCCAAACCTTGATATGGTATTCGAGTAAGATTCTCTTAATAGTAGGTATTACCGCTTGAGTGGTGTCTTAACCCTAAAGAGAACAATAGACTAATCATGTGTAGAAGTCTCGGGTCATCTAGAGAATGTACTAAACAATAAGATTAAGGAATCCAAAAGGGTTGTGCTTGTAGTTTGTAGTGAGAAGGTGTCCTTACGAGAGAGAAAGGGAAATGATATTTGTCTAGTGGTTCACATTGCCTTGATAGCAGATGTGTTGAGGAGATGGCATTTTGGTAGTGGTTGTTCTAGGCACATGATCAAAGATAATTCCCATTTTTGCCACTAATAATGTGGTCGTTTTATCGCCTTTGGAGATGGGAGTGTATCACAAGTTGTAGGTAAAGATAGTATACAACCTCCCGAGATGCCAAAATTAAATTATATTGACTCTACTTGTGTGTAACTGAGCTAGTGTAGATTATGTGAATCTATGAAGCACGTATACTTCAACAGGGGTGAAGTATCTACACATAACATGTATCGGATACCGATAACCATCGGATGTTCAAGGATACATATCACATACCTTCCACATTTATTCCATATTTAATAATATAGTTCTCAGTGTTGAATACTCACCATCTCTCAGCAAATGCTATTTAGTTATTGTTTATTTGAGCCACGGAATTTGTGCAGCAGTCAAGATGTTTTTGATTCTTCTTTCTAAACACTTAATTTCTTCGTGCTCAAGAATGCTTTTGGATTCCGAGGACTTAATAGTAATGTCTATTATCATTCGAAATGATGATCAAGTGAATTGCACATTTTTTTCGGCCTTCTGGGAGGCTGTATTTTTAGTTCATTTTGGTGGGTGAGTTTTCTAAATCTTTCTAGATTTTTTGTAATATTAAATTGGGGATGTTGAAATTAAACTTGATACCATGAGGTGTGCACTATGTGCATGTGAAAACATAGCTCCTTTTGTTAGCTCTTATCACTTTCTGTTGATATCATGTTAGTATATTTGTGTCACATTCATCTATTCCAAATTCAAAGTTCGTTTGCCATTTTTTGGCAGGTTCTGTCTGCCAGGAAGGTTCAAGTTCTACTGGGTTATTTTGTCCGCTGCATAAGAAGAGCGGGTGGGTTCCGGAATTCACAAAACCCTACTCTGGAAGCAAATCTTGATGCAGCAGTAGCTCATGATCCTGAAGAACTGATACTGGAGTTGCAGCCTGCTGAAAGGGGCTTACAAAGTCAAATTCTGGAAGCAGATCTAGTTTTATGGACAGTTGGGTCTAAACCTCTACTTCCTATGTTAGAACCCTCTGATAGTCCTCATGGGCTTCCTCTGAATGCCAGGGGACAGGCAGAAACAGATGAAACTCTCTGTGTCAAGGGCCACCCGCGCATATTCGCAATTGGTGACTCTTCTTCACTGAGGGAGTCGAATGGAAAATTGCTTCCGGCCACAGCACAGGTACTTGACTTATGATATTTGCTAATATTAAGGAGTTGGTGGGAATTTCTATGTGATTACATGTCAACTGTGAACTTACCCCAACCCTTTCTTATTATTGATATTTTTCATCCTTCTCGACTAGGGTGTGATGTGCTGTCATAAATCTCGCAGGTGGCTTTTCAGCAAGCAGATTTTGTTGGTTGGAATCTATGGGCTGGGATTAATGACCGACCTTTGTTGCCATTTAGGTTCGAGACCCAAACACATTCCTTAGAGATGCATGTGTGAATACTTCATCATTAAGTTCATTTATCTTTTTTCTTTGGGTAAATAATCCTTCATTAAGTTCTTTTTATCAGGATTTGATATTTCGTCTGTGACTAATGTCTGAACTCTGAAATATCGGCAAACATGTGGCAGGAACATGTTTTACAATATTATATTTGCCTTTGCCGTGAGCTGCTCCTTATAATAATTGGTATTAGCAACTCGGTTATGAATGTTACATGCGTAGAGATTACAGATGGAAGCTGAAAAAGGGCAAAGATTATAAGTAACAGAAAGCAGAAATTAGAGTACTTGTATATCAAATAATTAGGTTCTTATAAATGGAGATTATTTCGTCCAAAAAAAAATGGAGATTATTAAGTTCTTGGCTAGGTTCACTATTAAAGAGCATATAATACTACAAATTGCATAGGTGATACTTGAAGTAGTAAGTGGTACTAGGGTTTGAAAGGAGAATGATAAAGGGGAGAAGAAAGGTAGAAAAAGTGAGAGGAATATGTGTGTAGCTTGTGTTGCCCTACACTCTTTAATTTATAGTACAAACATATTTAGGGTAGTCACAATATTATCCTATACTTGCCAATTATGTGATATTACCTGGTTCTTGAGAATTTTATCGAACACACGGCTGACAAATTCACAAACTGCAGTTTTATACTTATTCATATATATGGATTTGTATACAAACGATAAGATATTGAGGGGGCAGAGACAAGTATCTTGACAAGTATACAAACGGATTTGTAGATTGATTTGATTGCTTCAAATATGCTCCAAAATTTTTTGCAATTTCCCAAAATTTTGTGACTTTCCTGTTTTATTTTCAAAAGTTGGGGCTATTCTGGATTTTTTTTAATTTTGGTGCTTTTCTGTGATTTCTAAAAAGTTTGTGGTTGTCAAAGCTAGTCTAGAATTTTTCAGAAAATTGAGCTGTTGGTTGTGTCAGAATCATCAATGGGTTAGGGCAAATCTTTTTTTTCTAACTCTACTCTAGCTGCAAATTTTTTGCCATATTAACTTGTCAGCAGCAAAAATGTCGAATGTTGATGATGATGAGCAACCTGCCAGCGACAATAGTAGACATCAACAACAATAAAGCACAAAAAGCTGTGGCAAGAGATGATGAACAGGTGTTGGGTGTGGGTCTTTTGTCGAAATGGAATGGCCTTTTTATTTATTATTTATTTATTGTGAATGATGGAATCATTACACATAGTATTCCCCGCCCCCATCAGCGTATTTTTTTGTTTTACGTCTCGTAACTCTTCCTCAGCCAGGCTTGGGCAGAATAGCAGAGCAAGTACAAGTATTAGTAGCATAACAAAAATGCGTTCCTCGTCATTAATATGTTTGCTCGTGGCAATTGTGACCTCTCGGGAGAATCAATGGCTGCATCTTTGATGCATGGTGATTCTGCTGCTGATCTGTTTTTCTCCCCTTATATGTGGGCACGACAGCAACTAGACAAGCCATCTTCCTCTTCCGTAGTAATTGGTTCGGTGCTGAGAAATGATGAGGGCAGCGATAGTCAAGCTTGAAAAAGACAATCGTAGTGTCAGATCGCAGTTATGGAGCTTAGGCACTGATATGAAGCTGATGTAACCTGGTTCTTGAGCATTTTATTGAACACATGACAGGCAAAATTCCCAATCTGCAGTTTTATACTCTTTCATAGATAAAGGATTTGTATACAAAAGATAGGATATTGAGGGGGAGAGAGATAAGCAAGAAATGGGGAAAATTCTAGAGACACCGGAAGCCTTGAAACCTCAAGGAGAGTAAAGAAAGGGGAGAAAACCCTAACATACATTAGGGGGCCTTGAATCCACAAGGAGAGAGAAGAGATAAGGGAGATGAGAAGGATAAAGAGCCAAAGGCTTTGTCAAGGACTTAAAAGTCTCATTTTTGCCAGCTTCCTATATTGCACCCTTAAAGGCTTAGTTATAGCCTCTAACAAAACCCGAAGGGTTCATTACAATTATGAAAATGTCCCCAGTACTATATTTATAAAGGCATATTTGCATTATATCTTCTTTTCTCTAGAAATTGATTGCATCATTATGACTAATACATAAAATAAGAACTCTAACTCTCCCCCTTAAGCTGCAGCTGAAACTACTGAAGGCAAATCGAGCCATTGACTTGGTAATAATATTAGACTTAATTTTTGGAATGCCAATCTCCTTTTGTATCAAGTTATCTCTAATGGAGTGGCAATCCACCTTGATGTATTTAGTACGCTCATAAATACTAGATTACTCGCAATGAAAATGGCTACTTGGTTGTCACTGTGCATCTTTATAGAAAAGGCACATCAATACCTATATCAGAACATAGTTATCAAATTGTGTATCGGAAGACGTATCGTTTTTTAAAAATAGTGTATCGTATCGTATCGTGCATCGTAAGATACGGCACAATTTTAAATAAATAATAAAAAAATATATATACGTTTGAAAAAAAATAATAGACTCATAAAAGTATAGCATTTCATTAACACTCCACCAACTATTTAAGTCATCAACATAGTTCACTAATATTATAATACAAAGTTCACACCATAGTTCACTAATTCAAACTTCAAACACCCAAGAGACTTCTAATCCAAACTTCTAAACATCCATTTAGAAGTCAATCTTCAATTTCAATTGAAAATGCATCATTATCATCATCATCATTATCATCATCATCATTGTGATCGGATGCCAACAAGTCTTCACCTCATTATCTTCAACTTCTTGTATTTCTTCATCCTCATCCTCATCTTCAAGTTGAATTATTTGCTTCCTCTTTTTCTTGTTTAAAGAAAGATCGCTCGGCTCTACAAAACAACCAATACAAAATATAAAAAAGATATTCAAAGTAATGGAGAAGAAGAAAAAACAACCACTATATTTTAATTATATACTATTTACCTCTCTTTCTCTTTATGTTATTCCCTTTCGTGAACCTCAAAACATTCATCAACATTCATCTAAGTAGTGTCCTTAGGAAAGAGTGCATCTTCTTTTTCAGTGATTTACTCATCATCAGATTCCATATCTGAGAGAGCAATAGGGTCATAGGAATCACCCTTTAGTATTCTTTTTTGGTGCTTGCCTCCAATCGAAGATTGTACTTCACAAACACAAGTGCACTTAATCTTTGTTGCTCTAATCGATTCCTCCTCTTAGAGTGCACTTGGTCAAATATACTCCAATTCCTCTTCCATCCTGTAGCACTACAAGTCAAGCTAAGGATGTGGATAGCAAGTTGTTGCAACTCTGGACAACATCTTCCAAATGATTCCCACCATAAGGCTATAAAAATTTACAAAAGAATACTGCATTAACTAACTTAAGCAAATTGCATTAAATGACTAACTTAAGTTAGTTACCACTAACGAGGTTGTTTCTTCTTCCTCATCTGGATTGCCATGTCCATTCCAAACATCAAATCGGCACTGTGAAAGATATCCAATTGTTTATCAACTTTTTCTATTAGAACAGGACTTGGGCACATTCTCTGAATAGTCTGATAAAGTCCCATCTTTATCTCATAGTCTACACTACCATTAAAGTAATAAATCCTGAAAGTTATTTTGATTTATAATGATGAGTATACAATATATTGATATACAATGATATAAAAATGAAAAAAATTAAATCTTTCCCTGGATTGAGATAATAGGCAGCTGCATGAAGAGGTCAGTGTAATTGTAAGTTCCATCTAGTGTCAACAATAGTCCATATGGGCTCATAGTGCTTCTTCACATTACGAAAATTCTTTTGGATTTGTTCCTTTGGCTTGTCCATTACCTTGTAAATATACCCCATGGCAGGCTTTAGATCCCCATCACCAAGCCTCAACACCTTCACCAATGGCAACACACACTTCAAGCAATACTTGATTGATCCGCAAAAATTTTGGTCAGCAAGTCTAATATCCATCACTTTTACACCATTTCCTTTGTTAGAGTATTGACTTTTCTACCATTCTTCAGAAGTAAACATTACTCTAAGTCTAATTTTATTCTCAAATAAACTCCTTAAAGTTAAATATGAGGTGGTAAATGTGGTCACACAAGCTCTCACAATATCCTTTTTCTTTGTATACTTCCTCATAAGATTTAACACCCAAGAATGTCTATAGATGTAAACTGTGATTTTCCTTGCCTTTGCCATTATATACTTGTGTAGAGGAAGGTCTCCAATATCCATCAAAATAAGATCTAGGTAATGTGCAGCGCAAGGAGACCAAAACAACTTTTTCCTGAAATACTCCGTTCCATTTTGGCAAGGAATTAGTTAGAGAATATTATCTTCGAAGGAATGAGAAATTTTTTTTAAAAAAATCTAGAATAGTCTAGAACAATTTAGAAGAATCTAGAATGTTGAAGAAGTTTCTAAAAAGTCTGAAAAGTTCTAGAACAATTTAGAGAAGTCTAAAATATTTTAGAAGGTTTTAGGAAATACTAAAAGATTATAAAAGGATTTAGAATGCTCCGAAAAGTTCCGTAGAAGGTTGGAGAAGAGTTTAGAATATCATAGATAAATCTAGATACTTGTGGAATTGCTATGTGCAAAATAAACTTCAAACCTATAAGGATCTAGGAGAGGGGATATGGTAGAATATTCTAGGGAATCTCCCCTAAAAATGTCACATGTCAATATTCTCTAGAATAATCCTAGGATACCTATAAATAGGGCATTTGGGGATTGGATTAAGAATAGAAGTGCACAAGTAGTCTTCTACTTTCAAGAAAGAATAGAGTAAAAGAAGAAGGAAGGAAGAGCACCTTATCAAAGGAGAAAAGAAATCGTGAGAGAAAGAGGAAAGGCATCGATAACTTCTCATTTCGGGTAACAAGCAACACTCAAAAAACATATCATGTAGACTTGAGATAAGTAGTTTGGCATGCTACGTATTTTCGAAAATTTTTCGTATACCTAAACATTTTAAAAACAATACATCATACTGGTTCATTACTACCTTTACAAAATGTATTACTAAGTGTCTAAGTACTTCTGACATATGATTCTCCTTACTTTGATGAATTCTTTTGTGAAGTATTGTGACTCAATCACTTATTTATATGGTGAGACTTAGTGATGGTGAATGAGACCAAAATTAAAAGTCCAGGGAAATTATTCTTCTGTGTGCGTGTGACTCTGGCCACTAGGGAACAGACTCGGGGGAGGCTGAGGTGACCCTAGTGCTCAACGGTTGAAGGAACAGTACTTGGTGCATCCTGGTGATCGTCACCGGATCGTGTTAGGGAACAGACCCGGGGGCGGCTGTGGTGACCCTAAGTACGATGTTGGATCCAATCCTGAGATATATTTTGGTATTTGGTATTTGGTTTTCATCGATTATTGGATATCGTACAGTTTTCACCATTATGATATGATTCACCGTTGTGGTATGATTTCTTGTTGAAACCCGATTGTGTTATTCTTGAGAAATTGGTTATCTTGATGAAATTATTGTTTCAAATCTTTGATTTACATGTCGTATGCAAAAAATATTTTTCAGCCACTTTGAATATGCATGCCTTTCCATTTACTGGGCTTTTTAGCTAATGTTTTCCAAAGTAATATTTTTCTAGGAAAACGATTGGAGTGTCAATAGTGGACTTGAGGAATTGATTGGGGACTAATAGTGTTGTGACCTCCGTAGCATATATCTTATAGCCATCTTTACTTGTTTGGATAATTGGGACAAACAGGTTTAGGTATGTTGACTTTGACATATTGACATGAGATCAATTTAGTGTAAATGTTGTTTTCCACTCCTATATTATTAGTTTATTGTTAGACTTATGTGTTCCATAGGTTATGGATCTATGGTTCACGACCGGTCATGTCCTTGGAGTTGGGGTGTGACAAGAGTGGTATCAGAGTCTAGGTTGCAACACACAAGTGGACATTTATAGTCATGTTATCTTTATGGAGGAGGTTAAGGTTCCCAAAGTCCTTTTGGTCATATAAGTCGGAAAAAGTATATTTGATAGTGTGAAGTGATGATATTATGAGATAATATGTTTATAGGAGTGTTAAGAACGAGCATTGCTCCTGGCATCCAATAGAACATTTTCTCCTAAGTATCAATGCAACGAAGTGCACTAGTTTTTTATGATGATGTTTTAGAGAAAAATGTTTTGGGATGATTTTTGAGTTTCAAACTTTGACCTTTTAGGTTAGAGTACCAGCTTATATTATAAGGGAGCCGCCTTCTAGTAATGATTCACTAAAGTTGAGATTGGTAGATTGCTTAAAGGAACAATTGGTGATGGTTGACCATGCTTACTTTTGTGGTCTTTTAGACGATACAAATGGTGATTTTGAAGTCAAGATAACATCATATAATATTCTCTATGGTTTTAATAGAGTATGTTGTCGGACGAAACAAGAAATGGGGTGACCTTATGTGGGTAGATTTTTTGAAGTAAACAAATTGGGAGTTACTAGTTCATTTTAATGGTTATACTTATATTTGGGAAAAATTAATTTTGTGGTTGGGTATCTATTATGCAATCTTTTGTGTTTGGAAGAGTCAGATATTTTCATGTAAAAGTATTTATTAGTCTCATTTAGTGTCTTGGTGTAAGTATTTCATCGTGAAGGGCTAACTAGATCACGGTTTTTGTAGAACACCAAAAATTCAGAGTTTATTGTCATGACCAGTGAAATGGAATAATAACTTGTAGAGTTGTAAAAGTTGGTAATTCAAAAGGTTGGGAATAGTTGCAAATGAT